TGTTTTATACTCTATAACTTTGGATATCCGTATATATAAAATTCACGGCTTTTTCATCTGTGGACGGTGGTTTGTGACCTGGACGAAATTACGTTTCACCAATAGAATTTCCAGATGAAGTCCATTTATTTAATATCCGGATGTTTCGGAAATTTGAAACACTTTGGACCCGACGGGGATCGAACCCCCGGCCCGATGATTATTAGCCGTACTTCGCTACCATTATACCGACGAGCTCGACAACATTATAATTTTTAAAACTTTTTAGAATTCAGCGAGTTGAGGGTGTCGAAAATTAAACGTCGAAAATCGAAATGTGTAATGTTCGCGTAATATTGAACGAAGATTAACCAACGAGGTATTCAAAAATTCAAATTATTACACCACATTCCCATGGGACCATGTATGTTTGCTTAAAAGTAGTTTTAATTGTGTAAAATATGTTGGCATCGAAAGTTGGGGTCACACGAGAGTAAACGCCAATAGATTATTTATCAACAGGAACCAAGAACGACTGCATCCTTAGTTCAAAAGGGATTTAAGCCCTGGACGAATTTAAATCTGGGTAAAACAATTTTTTCGCACTATAGCTATGACTATCAACTGTTTGCCTGTGAATCGATCAATGAAATAGATACAGAAATGTGTTCGTCCCGTAATGTGGTAATGTAGTTTGACTTGATAAATTCTCTTACTTGGAAAACATTAATATTGTTCACATGTTATTGCACATGAAGGCACTTTATAATTTAAAAATCTAAAATAAATTGAAAATAAATTCGACTCGGGCAGGACTTGAACCGGCATCGTCAGCGTTCCGTGCTGTTGCTCTACTACAGGTAGCTTAATTGATAGAGCAACAGCACGGAACGCTGACGATGCCGGTTCAAGTCCTGCCCGAGTCGACAATTTTTTCAATTTATTTTCGAATTTTAAATTCTATTACTGTTATATTTTTGTTGTTTGGTTATTGGTCGTCATCTGTCAAATACAAAATTCTCAGTCGAGTATTTCAAACACAGTTTAATTTGCAGTTGTTCAATATTTTGGTTATTTTTAAATCCCATCTTGTGATAGAAATGTATTTTAGCTTGAAAAAAAAAACAATGAATCGGGCGGAACTCGAACCCACGACCACAGCGTTGCCCGTCGTGTACATATTCGATTTAACAGAAACTCAATAAAATTCAATTTTGTAACCATGTAACAAGTGTTTTTGGGAGTAAAAATCTTACTAACATTGTTTGTTGTTGAAAGGCATCAACGCGTCGTCGATCCACAACAAAACAAAATAATGGTGATTTTGGCGTTTGTGCAATAAACATTTTAGATAAAACAACAAACAATGCATTTGTAACGTTTCACGGGCGTACATTTTGCTAACAATGTATTCGTACTAATATTATAAATACTACGTTTCAATGTTTGGGATGTAAATCCCAGCACTTTTTGTTTGTTTGATAAAACAATTTATGGGTTTAAAACGCGATATATATTGGTTAAGCTTGTTTGTAATTATGTTAACTACGGCCCGACGTGTCGGATGCTTTGCAGCAGCCGTGGTCACGCGAAGACTTAAAATGTCTCTTACGTCAAAGTACTAAATATATTGCGTTTTAAACCGTTAAAGTGCTTTATTTGAATATGTATTACCCGCGTAAACTACAGACATTTGACATTTTTAAAAGCAAATTATAGCAAAAAGTTATCTATTTTTTTTATATACAACAGAAGTAGTTAGAAATAATACTGTTCCGATCGTAGTTAAAAACCAATTAAAAAACCAACCAACCAATTAAAACTTGTATATTTCGCGTTTTAAACCTTGAAAAGTTATTATTTGTGTACCACTTATATTTATGATACCATTACCACACCATTTATGATATAATTATATACTTATTACATGTAGCTTTATAAAATATGAAGTAAGAAAAATGCGCAGGTTATCCATGCCCTCGTATATCCAATCACCTATTTGTGTTAAATATGCATCCTTTTTGCTTTTACAAACTCCATATTGCTATGGGCAAAGTTTGCAAAAGCATAATGAATCTCCATTAATTAGGTCATATTATAACGACTAATTAATTGGGTGCCTTTGTATTTTATACTAGCTAAGTCAGCGACTTCGTCCGCGTAGAGTAGTTATGCACAAATGCAGTCAAATTTGTTTTTGTAAACCTCTACAGCTTTATAAATTTAAGCTGAACAACATCGGTCGCGTCCCGTCACTCGCGACCCGTCGTTCTTGGAAGTTAATCTTAAATTGACATATAGTGTCGCGGACTGTTTTTTGATCATGTAAAGAGGAATCATTCTTTCGTACATATTTTTTGGGTGTCTTGAACCATTTTCGTAGCGTACGCATCTGAAAACCCACAAAGATAAAAAAAAACCCGTCTATTTTCACATTTCGCGCTGTATCTTAGCTTCAATTAGTCACAGCGCGTTTTCCTCGATAAATGCTCTAACCAACACAAATGTTTTTTCAATTCCAACCAGTAATTTCTGAGATTAGCGCGTTCGTGAAAAATCTACTTTTTTTCTATACGTTTTCTTTACACTTGACATCAAAAAAATATTATTAACAGTGTTTTATTCGTAGTAGAAGTGTTAATAATTTTTTTCTCAAATATAATTGAAACTACACATACACACTGCCTGTAGTTTACGCGAGTAGTACATATTTAAATAAAAAAATTACCAGGTTAAAATGCGATATATTTAGTACTTCGACGTCAGAGACATCTTTTGTCTTCGCGTGACCACGGCTGCTGCAAAGCACCCGAAACGTTGGGCTGTAGTTAAAAATAAGTTTAACTAATACATATCGCGTTCTAAGCCGTTAAAGTGTTTTATTTAACATACAGACAGACATGGGCTTCGCTTGATGGTGACAGAAATATCCCAGCCATGTTACATCTAAACAAGATGCGCTGTCGACCTTTTTTGGCTTTAGATAAACGCATTGTATATAAATATTGTTGCAAAAATATTCTCTTGTGATTGTAGTTGTCTCAAGTGTTAGTTTTGGGTAGTCTATGAATTAGAAAGAAATTGTATATAGCGACATCTACATTGCATGACGTAAACGCTGTAGGTTGCATTATCAAGTCAACTTTGTACTTCATAAGTAGTAGTAAAGATGGCGCTGTTAAATATTGAAATGTTGTAAAGAAGATGTAGATGGCGTTGAAATGAAAATTATATTTTATTTTTTAATATTAATTATTTTTATTTACTTGGTGTAACTAAAACATTATATATTTATATTAAAATAAAATTTACTTATAATTTTATATTATTCGTTTTTAAATTAGAAAGCATTAGGTGAGTTATGGGTTTACGTCCTAATAAATAATACGCGTATTTCATAGTAATTATTTATTTATATTGTATATTATTTGAATACATCAAATTTTTTGGTGTAACACGAAAATCGTAATATTTAGCTGAATACCTGCGTCCGTAGGCCAGCGTTACATAATTATTATGATCTTAATAATAATTGTACGTACATTAGGAATGTACTACACTAGGGCTAGATAGCTTGAATAATGAATCCTAAAGCATTATCGAATATTATAACAATTAAGAATTAAATTATTAAATCAGTCATTTACAAGCATCTCATATTTTACAATAATTACTACTATATTTCCCTACATCTATGCCTAATTGTTTTCATATAATCCATGTATTTATTTTGGGTATCGCTTATTGCACACGACGAATTTTTACATCACACTAGATTTTATTCGATATCTGTATGAAAATAATCGAATCGATCAATCGAAATGTTTTGAATCTATATTATTTTCATAATCTATAATAAAGTCTACTCTATATTCTATAATGGCATAGAGTAAACAGGCGAGTCCCGTTGTATTAATTGCAATTAAGTAGAGCTAATGATTTAGTTACATTATGTCATAATTGTTTAAAAATCTTAAATTACATTTTTTTTTTCTTGTGCCTTCCACGTGGAATAATATTTAGAGTAATGACAAATTATATTAAGTACAAATGAGTTTCAAATCATTACATTCGAGATAACACACAGATCACTTTTTATTTAACTAGAAAAGATACAGGCCACTTTTTGTACAATCTTGTCAGGTGTCCGTTACAAATTAATGAATGTCGAATACAAAAATGGATTTTAAATTTAGAACAGAGAACGGAAGCGCCATATTTATAAATAATTACGAACTAACACAATACTGATAAAATCAATAATTCAATATTCGAAATTTACAGCTATGTACCTAACAATCACAAACTGCGCTACAGAAATCCCTCAACATTCACCTAAACACGACCTATATACAAAATTTACATAAAAAACATATAAAAACAGAGCACATCATCACTCAACGGACATAAATCATAAATAAACACAATTGACTATTTACAATTGTCATTTGAAACCAATTCAGTGAAGAACAATGAAATAATGATTTTTACATGCGATTTCAGGGCAGTGACATCTAGAGGCAAATATTTTACACTTCATACGAAACTGACGCATATAGTCCCAAACATATGTAACATTTAATTCTATAATAAACAGCATTAATCCTAAACTATTAGGTTGTACTGGGCCTAGGTATACAGGAATAAAAAATCAACGAGCCTTTATTATCGTGCGGTGCACGGTAATAAATGCTCGCCGAATGTTTGACATATTGACCTATATTCCGTCGAAATACCTAAAATCTAAACGCTATTTTCAATTTACGTTAATGTTTTGGATTCGCGGCTAAGGTTGTAAAGCCACACTCGCGTCACTATGTAACAAGCAAACGATATATCTCCAATTACACTTCTTCCCGCGCTTTTCAACGTCAAATATGAGTAACACAGATAATAATCGCGTGCTTGATTACACAAATGGTTGTCCCTACTAATTTTCTACACTGGCAACTTCTTTACAGTGAATCGAACTCTAATGCTAAGGACATAAAGTGTAAAATCGCGTGTCTTATTTTAACCGTTTAAGACACCATTTGCCGATGATTGTTCTGCCCGTTGCCATTTTGTGATGGGAATAAAACTCCCTCGTATGTGACTCCGTTGATTTCTATAGACACAACTAGTTTTTGATCACCCGTACTTGCGTCACCTGAAACAAAATATATAAGAATTATATTATTTAGGTATTTAATATCACAGAACGACATACAACATAGTAGATGAAATGCCTCAGACGAATGACATCTAGTTAGATGTCAGATGCGCTGTCGACCCTTTCCGGGTTGGAACATTTGGAAACTCATGGGAATTCACAGTTACATTATTAATCACATCCATACTTTTATAATTTTCATAAAATGTATAATTTTTAATAATTCATTGCATAGCAATATATATTCTATAATATCAAAAATATGGGTTACAATTGAGAACAATGAAATGAATTAACACTTAAATATTTGATGTGTAAAACATTCAACTGTTGCTACTACGACAGAATTGCTGCATCGCTGATTTTCATCAATATCCAAAGATGACACTCATGTTTGATCAATCTAATTACCCAAACGTTTGTATATTAATATTAGTTCCGTAGTTTAAGAACAACATGTGTTTTTATTGTGTGAAAATAAATGATTTATTTATGGTGGTGGAAGAGTAATCTTGCTTACCTCTGGTCGTGATCTTGAAGGCTGCACCACTAACACCATTCGAGTTGCCATTTAGGTGCGGTGTGTGTATCTGTGGTTTGGTCTCGGGGGGTGAACGGGCTGGTGAAGGTGGGCGCGGGGTGCGACGCTTCGCTGGCGGAGGGGGGGAGCGGCAGGCCTCCCGTTTGATACCACCGCCGTTACTCGAGTTAGGACTCTCGCTCAAGTTTAACGCCTCTCTGAAATACGGAATGCTGTGTGATTGAAACGTTTTAGTATAGGAAATAATAACACGAGTCATATACAGTGTAAAAACAATCTTTAAAAGACAGGGGGGGGGAAACTTGAGAACAGATACCCTAGAAAGAATATTGGAAATAACTTCTGTTTTAATAATACCTAATTTTAACATTAACGGTTTAATAGGCGAAATAGATTAATTAAACTTATTAACAATTCGAACCCAGGAACTCCAGATCTCAATCTCATTGCCTAACTTTAGCTCTATGTTTCTGTTGAAAGAGACAGCAATAGAATTAAAAAGAGATATACCGTACATACCGTTGTGGTTCTAGATCTGGCTGTGGACTGTTGTTGTTGTTGTTGTAGAGCGACCATAGAGTTAATCTAGACACGTCTATGGCTGATAACGCTGCGTCTCTGGGGGACACCATAGGGGCTCCTGGGGGAGACTCCGAGCCTGAAAAAAATGGTTTTATTAATTACATGTTGTGATAGTGTTAGGCATTTTTGTGTTTGAGAAGAAACTATCTTATGTTTAAATACTGTCTATAGTTTACGCGAGTAGTACACATGTAAATAAAACACTTTAACGGTTTAAAACGCGATATATTAGTTAATCTTTCCCGTTGAGTCTCCCCGTGACCACGGCGGCTACAAAGCATCCGAAACGTCGGGCCGAAGTTAAAAATACTTTTCAAATAAGTCTAACTAATATATCGCGTTTTAAACCGTTAAAGTGTTTTATTTAAATATCTTATGTATATCTAGATATACATAAGATATTTAAATTATCTCTTCACTTATTTCTTCTTAAACACAAAAAAATATTTTTTTATGATAGACGAAGACAGACTATCATTGGTTTTACTTGTTAGTAGGTGAAATACCCCAGTCGCATAACATCTCAACAAGATGCGTTGTCGGCCTATTATGGCTTTACAAAACTTCCAATTCAATTACTGACAGAAGTATTATCATAAGATGTTAATAGTAACATTTTCGTTAACTTGTTTACGTTTGGTGACAGAACACTTTGTAAATCATCAGACAAAAGTATGTTCTTACCATTCCTTATAAGATCGCGTTGCTGTTGTATCATCTTCATGTACTCGCGGACCCTGTATTCAATATCATGTTGTGAGATGTGCGGGGCGTGCGGCGGCAAGGGGGGCAAGCGGGGCACTCCGGCGACTCCGCCCCCCAAAGAGAGGGATAACGGCTGCATGTGCTGGGACAGCTGCGCGAGAGACGCTGGCACTCCGCGGTTCAACGGCGGCTGTAATAGAGATTGTTATTAATGAGTACTTTACGTATCCAACTGAATTTGTTACCTTACTTGACAACCCATCAAGCATAGAAGGGCAATTTGGTGGTATTGAGCGTAAGAAAATAAAGACTAACTATGTATGACGGTATTGTAACATTGTGTGTCTTTTTATTTCATGTTTCCTGTACATATATGCCTACTGTGTCGTATGTTTAAAAGCCATCGAAGTATAATTTAAAAATCGAAAATACGGCAGGACTTGAACCGGCATCGTCAGCGTTCCGTGCTGTTGCTCTACCAATTGAGCTACCGAGTCGTAAGCCAAATTAAAGGTTAACTAAGAAAGTTTAAAACATAAATATGTATGTACTTTGGGGCAAAACCTTTCGATGTGACCATATGATTATCATACCCCTAGTGCCCCAAAACAATGTTTTATTACTGCTAAATATTAAAAAGATTTTCTTCTAGAATTTCCCACCAAACTCTAGTGCTATAACAGCAGCTTTTAGTGGGAAAGTCCAATGTTTTCTATACCGATGTTAGCCTAACAAAGGCATATTATTAGTAAACAATTTACCATAGAAAGTGCCGCCTGGGCGTCGTACTGCCCGGAGGCACGGCGCCCCTCCCGCTTATTGCCCTCAATGGCCGCGTCCAACTCACTCCGAGTGGAGAGGTTCTTCTTCTCACATTCATAGTCGTACAGGTACTTCATGTATCTGGAATTTAAAAAAAAATTACATCTCTACTAAATTAGTACATGGTAAAAATAAATACCTAATTGTTTTTGTAAAAATTAATAAACTGCATAATCTAACTTGAAGCTAAACAATATCTATACTAATAAAGCTAAAGAGTTTGTTTGTTTGAACACGCTAATCTCAGGAACTATTGGTTCGAATTCATTTTTTTTTGTATTATTAGATAATTTTTCGAGGAAGGCCAATTGGAGCGAAAGACAGATGAAAATGTGGAAAAATGGAAAAAATATTGGAAAAAAATAAATAGAAGAAAATTGTGTATCTATCTGAGACTCCTATATTTTGCAAAACGCAAAGCAATAAAACAAAAACACGGAAATAATTTAAACACATTTGACGGTAGTTATCCACCGAATTCTAAATTTAAAATAATTCCAATTTTAAAAGTTCTTAACAAATCACGTCAGAGACATGCTTATAAATCATATTTCAAGCTCAATTATCTATCATTCAAAAGCCGAACGGCATTACAACGTCGAGCTATTCAACTAGTCAATTTTATTCCAGCATATTGTCAACTGTACTCATAAGTCATATTAAGCGCGCATATTAAAACGGGCGATAAAGAAAGCTTTGAACTCGCCGCGTTTAAAAGTCGGCTACCTTTTCACGAGCTATCAAACGCAATTCAAATATATGACATTTGTCACCAGTCGCCTAGATTTACAGTCGTCCAAATTTTACAATAGCTGAATGATGTATGTATTCGAATAACCTACTTATCTCTTAGCATCTTGTTAGCTTTGTGTGGACCGAAAACTAGAAGCGTATTTCTTTAATTGCTATTAATTTACGGTATTGTAGGATTGTGTTTATTTATATACAATTTTGTCAATTAAAACAGGTTGAAAAATTTTAATGGGAAGTTTCCTTTTCATAGCCTAATGTATGATAAAGGTATGTAGGGTGTAAGTATGTACATCCAATATTTGTAAACTTTATTCTTTTTTTATTTTATTACACATGATGGCATTATATAATTTAAAATAAAAGAAATCAATGACACGGAGGCAATTTTAATATTCCTAACCATTTAATGTCCACATTTCAAGGCAAAGTTTCAGAAACATAAAACGTTTAAACTTATTTTTTTTTAATTTTCAAATAAGTATAACTAACATATATCGCGTTTTAAACAGTTAAAGTGTTATTTAAATGTGTACTACTCGCGTAAACTACAGACAGTAAGTATTTAATTTAAATATTTCAATTAGAAATTTGTTGGATCCAACGGGGATCGAATCCACGACCCGTCGATGATTAGCCATACATATATAGCTATAGGACAAACGACCCATTTACTGTTTCGCTTAATTCAACATTCAGTGTCGCAGGTAATTAGTGGAGCCGCGTAACGGTGTGCTTTGAATCAGAAATGTACACCTTTATGTCACCGACAATAGCAGAGGTTAAGGAACCCGCGAGATAAATGGGAAAATTATATCTGCCGAGAGCTAGACGTTATTAATTACGAAGACACATTGTCCACGACTCACGTACGCCTTTGTGAGTGTCTCGCGTTCGTGAGAAAGAGCCGTAATGGGGATCAGCTCGAATATGGAGCTCCTGGACCACACGGCTCTTGGTAAATCCAGATTAGGACGTTTAAGGGGGTCAATAGTCTTACCACACTTGAAATCTAAAGCTTAATCTGTTGAACAGTTTAAAGCGCGGAATATTGCAGCATTGACGTCGGTTAGTTATAATTGAAATGAGTTAAGTTTTGCGTTTTTAACCGTTAAAATTGTTTTATTTAAATGTGTATTACGGGCGAAAATTACAGACAAATATCTATAACTAGCTGTGCCAGCGACTTCGTCCGTGAGAATCGTTATTTTGGGCATCCATATTGGTTTTTGCAAACCCCGTCATCTTTATAAACTTAAGCTGTTAGCCACGACGTTGTTGCAAGTTAATCTTAAATGATATAGCATATAGCGTTACGGACTTTGGAATTTTTTAGATTATTTAAGAAGGAATCGTTCTTTCTTACTTATTTTTTTAATATCTTTAATCGTTTTTGCAGCGTACGCCGCGAAAGCCCATAATGATTAATTTTCCCATTTTTTTCACATTCTTACTGTATCTTCACTTGTATTAGTCACAGGGCGGTTTTATAAGTCTATAAGCCTTCCTCGATAAATGCTTCAACCAACACAAAAATATTTTTCAATTCCCACCAGTGTGGCTTTATATATTGATAGAGATTATAATCAGTTCATTATAAAATGTATCTTAGTTTGCTTATTTGTTGGTTATCAATTGACTTTTTTTGGCGAAACGATATTACACACAATACAAATTGGAAACAAACGAACGTTTATTGGTTTTTGACGTCATAAATACAGCCATTTAACTGTTATACGAAGTTCAAGGTTCACATCATAGATCCAAAATAAGTATAACTGACCACTTGCTTGATATTAAAACAATTAATCAGTATATTACACATAATTCCAGACTGTCCAAGATTAAAAAAAAATCAAACAGTGTCTGGTACTCACTGCGTCCTTAGTGTGAAAGCAGCCGAGGTGATGGAGGACGGCAACCGAAGCCCCTTGATGATCTCCTGCCATAACTTCTTGTTGATCACCTCGACGAGGCCACCACGAGCTATCACCAAGTTGTATAACTCGTATAGATCTAGCACCGATTTGGCCATGATTGGCAAACGGTTTATTGGTGTCCCTGAAACAAAAGAGATGTAAATTAAATACTGTCTGCAGTTAAGAGTAGTGCACATTTAAATAAAACACTTTAACGGTTTAAAAGGCGATATATTGAGGAGACAGTCTCCACTTGATCACGGCTGCAAAGCATCCAAAACGTCGGGCGTTGTTAACTAATATATATCGTATTTTAAACCGTTAAAGTGTTTTATTTAAAAGTGATGAAATAATTGCCACATCCGTTCTTCTTACAAGAAGCAAAATTTAAAGAAAACGTGCGAAAGGTATTTCTTTAAACTTCATATACTTAAGGTTTTATAAAACAATTTAATTTAAACAAATAAAGTATGTACAAATAACTTATATAGTATCAAAGTAAGCGGTGATACATAAGGATTTATATATCGTTAAAACTATCAAAATTTATTAAGACTTCTAAATAAAAAACTAGTAACAAATGAAGAATCGATTTTAAACTGAAAAAAAATTACGACACATCCAAAGTCCGTAGTTAAAAACGAAAATATTGCGTTTTTAACTGTTAAAATTGTTACGCGCGTTAACTACAGATCGCACTCAGATCAGACTTACATTCTGTTTAGTGCGCTTGCGATGGGCCACGTTAAATGAACTATCACTTCCTCGGAACATAGTGAATCCGAGTACGTAATCTAAATATAAATCAATAAAAGCAGATCAAACCAAATAAGCTTTACGCGAGGGCCGTAAAACCTTTTACGCGTGGTAAGAGTCGTAAAGAGACGCGGGCAGATCGCGACCGATCGCACGAGCGTGATTTATAGTCGCGTAGGGCTGTCAACTGCTTTAAATTTTGTTTCGATTAGACACATAACATACTTATTTATTTAACTTTTTTAATAATAAACACCACAGGAATGGTTTACATATATAAACTTACGAAATAGCTTATAAATATGTGGAAATATACCATTTAAAAACTGTGGTCTTGAAATAACGGAGAGATTGCTTTTTCTGATATCTAAGGGAAAAGATATCTCGATTGAATCCATAACAATAGGCCGAAACCGAAACGCGATTAACTTGACGGCTCTTCATCTGTGGACGATGCTTCGTGATCCGGACGGAGTTATGATATTCTTAGCAACCATTTAATATCTCGATTTCCAGACGAAGCCTGGAATCCGGTCGAGCATGTTTCGGAAAAATTATAAAGAGAAGTCAAATTGTATTAAAATACTTTAACTAACACAACGTTTTAATTCACACACATACACTTATACCCCAATGAGCCAATTATATCTATAGATAGATAGAGAATTAACTATATCCTTCATATTGTTAATTCATGATTATGATCATGAAGACTAGGATGTATTCATTGGTAACCCTGAGCGCCGGACATATCGCGCCTTTATACTGCCGCACTGCGCTAGATTTAGATCTGCAGATCTAGTGTGACCAGTTAAAATGCACTGCGAATTGATACACATGATTATAACAAATATCCTCGGGTCAGCATTTGCTACAAATCGTTGACAATAATGGCGTTATTATCTGTTGACGTGTGTATATGGCTAGTACACAAAATAAAACATATGTTTTTAATTTAGAGATACGAGAAACTGATTGTAACAATATATACATCAAAAATATATAAAAATTTTCATTAATCAATTAAAAAACGCGAATTCAACAAATATATCTCAACAAAAACACAAAAGGCGTACATAAAGAAAGAATCTAATTATCTGTGGTAGTCAATGTGACCCTTCTTTAATCTGTAGTAAACGTGTTTGCGATAGAGCTCTGGCAACACCACGTCTAGTGTGGCCCGCGGAAGCGGAACATTATGGCGGATTGTTTGCAAGTGATTTATTGTAATTCGGCGGTAAACGTAATGACGTGACGAAGAATGGCCCACATATCTCCCAGTTTCTTTATTACATGTTTACGTGTTCAACATTACGTTGCGCAACACTTGTAACATTTATTGTGGTTGGAATAATATTTGAGTGTCTTCCTGGCAATAATCTGTTTTATAATATGAAATCGCTTTTATTTTTACTCCTTCCGAGGTCTGTAATTTAGACATATGTCGTTTCATTTGAAAATCCTCTTCTGTATAATTATGTACCTACATTCGTATTTAAATAAGAAATAGAACAAAAGTTTAAATTTAGAATTAAATTTTGTAAATTGTAATGTCGGATAGGTATGAGATTTTGTTTTTTGAATTCCGAACAAACTGTAATTTAAAAAAAGAACTAGGTATATATTTTTGAATTGAATTTCGAACACAATTGATCGTCTACCATCCCCAATTTCAAATTTCGAACGTTCGTAAAATAGTTGACATAAATTACACGAAGTAGAAGCGAGTAATTGATGGGTACAATTTCAATAAGCTCTGTCCCAATTCTGAGCCATCACTTCGTACATAAGCGCAGTAATTAATCTCGGAGGGTGACGTACACGCCCCCCGCCGACCACCCGGTTCCCTCTCTCGCCCGGATAACCGGGGGATGATTAAGTGCAAACGGGAAGACTGATTGACAAATAGTCGTTTAGGTATTCGCTAATGTTCCGCTCTCATCAATAAACCATTCGATGTTTTCTGTTATTTTTTATACGGAGCTTTTCATTAGTAATGAGACTTTTCCAACGCGGGGTACTTTAGTACAGGCATAATGTAATGGCGGTAGTAGGTATATTTTTTCTTTCTTAATATATACCTACATATGTGCCTTGTCTTGTTAAAGTTAAAAGTTAATTGGCTTTGAGGCCGTTTAAAGTACAGATTAGAGAATATTACTTATTTATTTATTTTTGATGTCAAAGTTAATGCAATGAATTTTGTACGATACTGTAGATATTTAATTTTAGATAAAATATTAATTCATTTTATCTGTGAAATTGACGATAAAAAACTTTCTCATTTTGCAGTTGTTGCACATGACAGTATTATATAAATTAAATCTATTTAGATATTAAAAATCTTCGACACCCGCAGGACTCGAACCGGCATCCGCGGCGTCCCGTGCAGCTGCTCTAACCAATTGAGACACAGTAGCTCAATTAGTTAGAGCTTTTAATTTAAGTTAACTTACAGTGCATTTACAAAATGGCGCCCACGGAACCGAACATAGCGAGATATCGCACGACTCTAACTAATGACAGCGCCTAACGTCGTGCTACACGTTATCACACGCCTCTAAGAGGCCCGTTATCCGAATAACAAGCCAGTTACAAGAATTGTGGACAAAAGCCATTGTTTATGAAAGCAATCACCCCAATAACCATTTCCACAAACCGCCTTCCCCGCGCCGGCGGAAAACCCGCAATTCGATGCGCGTGCGCCGCGGTACATGCGCACGCCATTTGCATTAGCCGACCGAGTGCGAAACACCGCAATAAACCCGCGCAGCGCGCCATTATGCGCCACTCCAAAATGGCCGGTTAATAGTAATTTACGATGTATGTCAAATCGCCGACAGAGCCGATCTAATCGTAGCCAATTGTGACAGATTATTGCTTTTCCTACGAAACCTTACGCTAAATTTGTATTATGAATTTCACTTTATGAACACGTTTTATGGTATGCATACGGAATGCATAATTCCGCCGGGGCAATAGAAACACTGTTGCATTTCAGCCGATTATTCGCACTTCGCCCGCTATTTATTGGCAATCGACGTCGCTCGCGAACGCTAAGTCTTTTGTACTCGTAACGGGCTCTCGTAAATCGCCGGCGCGAACGCCCCCGACTCTTGATAAAGGACTGTAAATAACGCTCCTAATCTTTCGACATTTTCGTTTTATTGTCGGATTAGCTTTATGCTACTTAGAAGCTCCTAACTTGGCTTGATGCGTGGACTTACTTAGGAGTTCGAAAACGTTTATCATTCTTCACATGTTCTTGCACATGGCATTCAATTAATTAAAAGTCAATTTATTTTGAAAATAAATGCAGCAGGAGTGGAACGACTACTACTGTGGTCCCTGCTGCTGACATAACTACTTGATATCGATCGAGAGCTTTATTGGTTAAAGCAGCAGCACGAATCGCTGTGAGTGTCGTTTCAAGTCTCGACCGAGTCATCAAAACAATTTCAATCGAAACAGATTTTTATAGGGAGTTCTTAATTTAAAAAAGGTATGCAGTTCTTAATTTAAATTTATAGTTGCCGTTCTAAATTTAAACTTTTCTCTTAATATAAACTCGAACTCGATACTCCTTATCTCTTATGTCAAATAAAACGCGATGAACGGTTTTAAGTACGATATATAAGATTCGATATTTCGTAGTCGTCGTTAAGACTGCTTAACTTATGTATCTCGAATAAAATGTTCCAACAGTAATAAAATATAAACGAGATGAGTATATTTACTTTTTTAAACTGAGGCTTGACGTTTCTTAGTCACCGTTAAACCTCCTTAGTTCTTAAAGAAACACTTATAATTTTACACCTAACGTATTTATTAAGTAAAGATAACTTTTCTGTCTTATATAAGCCGCCCCTTGACCCACCATACAGTTCCCAATGATATCTACAATTGGAGAACGCGCCTATCATATCATCTGTATACACGGGCGATTATCGATCGAATCGAATCAGTTCGTATCAAGGCCCTTTGCAGCCGATAGCCCGGTCCCGACCAATGGGAGACCGCGGAGTGGCGAGCCTCGTCTCCCATTGGTTTGATAATCTTTTGATTGCGCCGCCCACTTCGATCCACGTCGCTATCAATCACAATTACTTGGCTGCGTTTTGCACCCGCTTGAACTGCATCTATAGCACTGTTCACGCCCTTGTATAGTCTATGCGAGTGAATTGTCAAATGTGAAATGTCAAAAGTCAACTTTTATTCGCCTTTTATAAGATTGCTTTATCTACTACTACTATTCCAAATTCGATAAGCACCAATATGTACTGTTTACGCTGTTTTACTTAAAATGTTTTTTTTAATCTCTTATTTAAAAACTTTAATTTCCTTGCATGATGGCGTTTCCTTGGAGACGGTAGCTCAATTGCTTATAGCAGCCGAACACTGTGAATGCCGATTCAAGTCCCGGCCGTGTCGTTAATTATTTGTATACCTAATGTCTTATTTTAGTAGAAAAATTATCCCTCACTGAATTAATGTCAGTCGCTAAGCTATCGTATTTGGATGAGCTTATTAGTCTAATGGTGGTAATGGTTGCTTAATCAATGGTTCGTTGGTACGAGTCCCACCGGGTAGTTTTTCTGAAAAATGTTGAACTTAGTCTGGTAATCCGGATCCGGTCACGAACCATCGTCAACATATGAAAAGGCCGTGAATTTCAGTCTGTCGATTTCTGAATTATTAGATTAGACGAACGAGCTTATCGTATCTTGCCTTAATAATATTCTCATTAACTTAAGATAAGAGTTAGAATTAATATCATGAGAATATTAAATGGTAGGTATTAGCTATAAACGTTAACCCCTGTTTAGGTAGTCGTTAAGAGTTTTATGGGCGAAAGAATTTATTGAGAGGACCGCGCTTTTAATTTAGAAATACGACGAACGTAGTGTTAACTTCCACACTTTGCTGTTCTTTTGAATTCTTATCGTTAATTTCAGTTTTTATAAGTATCGTCTTATAATTTCCTAAAATCTTTACATATATAAAAAGCTGAAGAGTTTGTTTTGTTTGAACACGCTAATTTCAGGAAGTAAATAGTGGTTGGAATTTAATTTTGTGTTGGTTAGAGCATTTATCGAGGAAGGCTATTGGCTATAAAACATCGCGCCGCAAATAATAGGAGCGGGAAATGTGGAAAAACGAGGAAAATGATTTATCCTTGTGAGTTTCCGTTGCGTAGCTGCATAAAACGAGGAGAGACTTCATCATTATAAAACACTTTCTCTAGAACATCGTCGAGTTCTAGCAAACTATTTAACAATCACTCTTCAGACCTGGATATTTTTTATCACAGTATTTCTGGCCGCTGACAATTACTAAGTTTTCTTTTAGAGCACTAATATAATATTTTTTTTTTATACCATATCTGTATATTACAGCTTAGTTTAGTAGACCTTTTAAATAAATATATAAACGGTGCAAGACACCAAAAAGCAACGAAAATCACTGTAACCGAAACGCGATTAAACTTCACGCCTTTTTTATTTGTGGTTTAGTTCTTGGTTTGATTCTTAAAATTCAGTATTGTCACCCCCCATTTATTTAATATCCAGATTTGCAGACAAAGTCCAACATGCTTTAGAACAATTATAATTAGATTTGAATCTTGGCCCCGGTGAGAATCGAATGCTTTACGTTTAAAACTCGCTACGAAATCTGATTCACCGAAGCAGTAGTAACACGGCGGAGTACCATAACTCAATCCGCGTTTATTGCTCAGCGAATTCCGAGAGATATGGCGCGAGAATGACATAAGGCCGACGATACAACGATCAATCATGGGAGGGCCGTAAAGCCGAGAACAATCCAGCGTAATTCCGTCCGAGGGACATTAAAATGGCGGCCGCCCTATCCGGCGCAACATTGTGGCGAACTTTCTTATTAGACTCGCGTCCGACTGTTTTATCGCGATTTTTTATACTGGTAATATTAAAATATGTTTTATTTTCCTATTTAGTGATAAGTAAGCTTGTGGCTTAAGAAAAACAATATTTTGTTCTCTCTTCAATTCGAAAAACGATGGAAGTCCGAATCTAACGTCATTCCGGTATTCAATGCGTAAATTAACGGCGTATGCGCATTGTAAGGAATCCGGGAGGCCATTCGATGTAATTGCCAATCATTGAGGAGATCTCGAACAATCGAGACAAAGGCGGGATAGCACCGAGTCTCGCCATTACAGTTCAATACCCATTATTATGCTATATTTTCGCGAGCGCCCCGCAGATACCGGCGCATGAGACGGCAAATATCTGTAATTAAAGGTTGTAAAGTTGATTTACAGCCGGGGCGAAGGCTCGCTCCGCCAATGGACGCCGGCCGGGGTCCCACCGCCTCGTATCAATTTATTAGAAACGAATGAGAATCACCGCTGCGGTCGCGCCGGTGCGATACGCGTTCTGCGGTCGCGGATCGCATCCTGCGCAAGAGTGGCGGATCGCGGCATTGCGCCGTTTACGACGTCCGTAACACCGGCAATAAAATGCCAACAATGGTGTACGATGCGGCTGAGAGGCGACGCGACTACGCCGGATCAATGCAACAATGGTAGCGACTATCTACGGGCCGCGCGAAAAACCTGCGCACGCGGCGTTATGCGCGCACGCAAATGAAGCCGCAGATTTATTTCGCAATAATTCTCGCGGACGCCGCACCATAATAAGTATTGTTTCATTCCGCTAACCGGCGGATTCGTATTCTCACGTTTAATATCTGGCGAGTAATTATTGGCATTTGTTTCGGAACGCACGTATCGTATCGGGTGAGATGCGCGTTATTTATTATTAGCGTAGTCATGTTTGCGCTTTTTATGGCTGTCGAGAAGATTGAGCGTCGGAGCGTCCCTGGGTTACAATGTTTGTGGTTGCCATGGCTACCAGGAATCAATTAGCTTTTTTTACCGGCCAGTTGCATATCTGTAATTTGCTTTAATTGTCAATGTCAATGTTAATAGTCAAAAATCCAGAGAACATGGGAAAGTAAATTGGTATCCAATTTTCCCGAAAAAATAATATAGGCGAATAGATTTTACGTTCCAAACTGTTTTTATTATTTTTACCACTTTCATAAATCACATTTATACTAATCACAGACAATCTATACTAATATTGTAAAGCTGAAGAGTTGGTAGTTTGAACGCGCTAATCTCAAGAATTACTGGTTCGAATTATTTATGTGTTGGCTATAAAACATGCTACGACCAATAGAAGCAAAGAAACAGAGGGAAATTTAGGAAAAACGGGGAGAATGTGTAATCTTTAAACTTCCTTCGCTTTCGTTAAAACAATTCCAGATTCCCAAAAAATATTCTTCTCTATAAAATCTACAAAAATGTCCACGATATGGTAGTCTAATTGTGTTCGAAATACTTTATAAATGGCATATGGCAAAATCATAATTATTAGTATTTTTTTATAATTTAATAGTATTTAATAATCATCAAGATCTATACATTCCCTATCAACATAAGTATAGGATTTGCACAGCCTATATTTATTTTTACGGCCATTTTGTCGCTCGCAGGAATCGTAAAATATTATCGGAAACCTTTAATTTTCTATATCATTTCTTTTGTCGATACAATGTTGCTAATCGTCCTCCACAATGTTGTTGTATATAACAGAGTCAAACGCACTTTACGAACATCCCTTGTAGACAATAAAAATTAAACGTAAGTACTGTGAATCGCTTAGTTTACGCGTGGGGACATTTTCAAGGGAATTAATGTCTTATGTTTGGGCGTTAGGGGTTAGTATAGCGTGGTTATTTTTGTTTAGTAGATGTGAACGAAGGTGTCGAGACGACAGTGCCACTGTGTTCGGGGTCTAACGTCAGGCAATTGAATGACAATACGGTTGGCGTCCCGGTCGTGACTAGGCAGATTTCGAAGAGGGAGTTATATTAGGAAATTGTTTGTGATATCTGTTGTCTAGTGACAATGATTAGGGGCGATCGCATACATTTTTCAACGGTTTAAAACGCGATTTCTTTCTGTGTACTTAAACGTAAGTGTGCTTTTTGTTTTTTTTCGTCATTCTAGTTATCTGAAGTAAAACTAAATATATAAATAAGCAATTTAGGTTCGTTGGAAGTTAACTCAAAACTGAGTTATTCACGTCGAAAATACGTTGAAAAAGTCGTCACGTTAATTTTCGTTTCAACCTGTGGATTTCCGAATATCCAAAGCTAAAATGGGTCGTCCGCACATCTTGTCTAGATGTTAATGTCGAGTGTATTTCGCCTATCATCAACTGAAATCCATGCTTCTTCTTCTCTTCCCTTCCTTGATAAAATTCACTTCTTCCTATATTTATGCCTTACATTGGAGATAAGAAATAGTAAACCAAATGTAAGTTTTTTTCCACAGAATTGTTGCCACAAGACAATATGATAGATCATAAACTAGATGCAATTAAACGAAACATAGACAACAATAAACCATAACGGAAATAAAATAATCCGGCGCAGTGACAAAAAACACACAATGGAGTCAAAGGGCACAATGACAATGCCTTGTGCCTCCGAGATGAACAAATGAACTCGGCCACAATGCGGCATTAGCATAAAAAGCTCGGAGTGACAGTCGTTTGGGACGAAAGGGTCAATTGAAGACAAACATATACTTTCTACTGTGCGCTATTGCTGAGCTGTCTGTGTAATTCGGATGTTGTAAAACAATATTGAACTGCTTTTAACGGTTTAAAATATTATTTGACTACGGATGCAGTTATATGGTAAAGGGGTTCAAGTTTTTAGTTTTTACACAAAAAATACTTTGGAAAGATGTAAGATTTTTTCGCGTTTCAATCTGTGGATTTCCGAATATCCAAAACCGAAAAAGGTAGATAGCGCATGCTTTTAATCCATATTAAACTCTTTGGAACGGTTTAAAACGCGAAATATAATCCTTCTGATGCTCCCTTTTGCTGTTTTATTTAATATGTATAACAGCTACTTTTCAAACTGTGTTAAATTTTACAATTAAGGCTATGGTTTATAATAGTTCGTTTGTTGTATATTGTTAATTATTTACTTATTTAATTTTTGTGATAGAGGAGGACAAATAATGGTTTACTTGATGGAAGGTAAAATAACTACGCCATATAAGCAACGTGTTTCAGACAAATTATAAATTGATGAAAAACGTTTCGTACCTGATTGTATCGAACCACTTTTATTATTAGAATTTTATTTATGTTATGAAACACAACTTCCCCCACATGACAGCCTTTATACTATGTAGTTTCATTAAAAACTAATGTTATATCCGCCTACGAACTGTGACAAAGTAAAATCGAAAAGTATTTAAAATTAATCTCTTGGCGATGTCGTGATAACTCTAATATGCTTATCATCGTATTAATATCTGTTGCTTCCTGCCATCCGCCGCGCCCACCTAAGCTTGTAATGTATAACGGCGACTTACTTGGAACCATAAAACTTTATATATTGCAAGAAAATGTTGTTAATTTTTAGAAGCAGCACAATTATTTTTATATATAATTAAGTATATATAAGATCGAAGCTAGTTTTAAAATGATACAATAAATAAACAGAGAATCCGATTTCCAAGATACTAAAGCAAGATCAAGTAAATTTATAGCCATATAAAAAGTAAAAAGATACACGTATCCGCCCAAACTGTAGGGCGGATTCGATTAATACGGCGGGCGCCGCCTACTACGTTACACGGACGTAAGTCCTTCTAGATAATATTCTCTATAGATCCATTTAAAGGCAGTAACGGAACTTTAACGAGAAAAGAATTTAATTTGAATTCCATTTTTGAAATTTTATAATATACAGTAGTTCATCGGAGTAGAATTGATGACAATTCAAAATTAAATTACTTGATTTCGTGTCGATTCTATTTTCAAAATGTGACTTAATTGAACATTTTTGGCGGGAACTTAGAAGAACGATTACTTCCCGCCAAAAACCCCACGAAGATAGACTAGCTTCAGTCTGTGGATTTCCGAATATCCAAAGCCAAAATAGGTCGACCGCGCATCTTGTTCAGATGTTATATGGCTGTGGTTTTTCACCTACCATTAAGTGAAACCCGAAGTTGTCTATCCTCCCTTATTATAAAAAAACTTTTGAATGTTTAAATGAATAATACAGTACAGAGGTCGATTAGGACATAGGAGAGTTTTCCAAGCGTAAACTATAGAATTTCCGTGATATACAGGTAACATCCGTGAGAAAGGCAAATTGCACGTTGCGGATATGTCGGTGTACCAAAGATAACGTACTTCCGTCGCCCACTTAGATACCACTCGTGTATTGACAAATGTTTATTGCAATTCGATCCTACCTTGTTCTTATAGACGACAAAATTTTTACAGGAAAAGTCTACAATATTATCAATACATAAATTGTGCTGTCTATAGTTTACGCGAGTAGTACACATCTAAATAAAACACTTTAACGGTTTAAAACGCGATATATTAGTTAAACTTATTTGAAAATGATTTTTAACTTCGGCCCGACGTTTCGGATGCTTTGCAGCAGCCGTGGTAATAACTAATATATCGCGATTTAAACCGTTAAAGTGTTTTATTTGAATAAATTGTGCTTCTATACTAACTTATAATAATACTTATATAATATATTAGTGTTAAATAATATGTATTAAGGACATACAATTTTATAAACAATAATAATTTCTAAGAAGATGTACCATTAAAAGAACCTTGCTTGTATAACTTGTAATAATTATTAGTGTTAATGCATTTTTACAGCGATGAAGTATTTACAATTTATTACAAAATTTAACCAGTACCTACTCCTATATTATATTTTTACGCTTATTCGGCAATCTTATAAGGCTTAAATTTTATAAATACACAATGAAATTCGTCGTAAACCAAACATCGTTCTAACTAAACGTAATTATTATTTAAGCATTATTTAATGACAATTGAAAACTTAAACAAGATTTTTTAAACGAATCGTGTGAAATATATATTCAAATCCAGTTCGTGTCATATTTTTAGTATTTTTTTGTTATATTTTTATTTATTTAAGTAGTTCTGAGCTTTAATAAATCTATATTCTAAGACCCATGTTTATTCAATAAATATGTTTTTAAGAATACAATATTTACACTGCACATCTTATCACATCATCTTAAGTAGGTACCTAATATCAAAATGAAAATAATTATTGTTTTCAAAATACATTAACCAAGATTCTGTAGTCACGTAAATCCGTGGGCAGAGATATCAAAAATAAATATTAGGAAGTACTGTCAACGGCATTATAAATAATCACGTTGGACCAGCTCGTTAGCGCTAGGAGGGGAGGGAGGGGTAATTTGGCTCATCCATCACCTTGCGACCTGGATACCGCTTTCAATCAAGCAAAGCGTTTAATGCTATTATTGTATGTATCTTTATGTATGTTTGGGGTAATGACTTTTAATATACAGATCACAGGAATTACAAAAAGGTAAGCTAATATTATAGAGCTGAAAAGTTTGTTATGACTACGTTCGATTAGAAAAATTATATTTCGTGTTGGAGAAGTTGTTACGAAAGGCTTTGCAACATAACGCTAAAATTAATCTTTGAGGGCTTCCATTGCGTGCGTAAAAACGCTGTATGAAACT